AATCTGAGCTTCCTGTAGATTCCATGAAAAATGACTGCAAGCAGGGGTGGACTGGGACCACTTTTACGAACCGTTGGCCTTCAGAGCGGGGTGGGGGGGCTTGTATCGGCCCAAGCTGGGTAAGCGGCCCACCGGGACAGTGAAAGTGAAAATAACTTGTAACATAAAGGAATCACAGGCGCAATTTAAGACTGGGACCTACTTTATGACAGAGCACAGCTGTAAACCTCTGCTGAAAGCTGCAGGGCAAACTCAAATACACCTTCTTCTGTAAACACACGTCGTTAGTGAACTGGTGAACACACACCGTGACTTACTTATCTTTAAAATGTTTAAGTGGACAAAGTTTAACTTTAACCTGTAGTGTGAGGACATTTTGCTTGTCCACACAATGCTAAGCATCCCAAATCTTGGTTTTAGAGGTATGTGTGAATTAACTTTTAGTTTGGGTTGAGGTTAGGAAAAGAACCCCACTGGTTAACGTTAGGCATAGTGGAGTCACTAAAATGAGTAGAAGTCGTTGGAGGCCCACACAAATGTGTGTGTGTTGCATGAAAGTGTTTTAAGATGGCAGAGACACAGTTTTTATTTATGTACAGTGCGCTGAGCTGAACCCATGCAGCCTTCTGGAGGCACGGAGACCTGACTCTGACTGATGAACAGAAACAAAGCTTCACCAAATACCTGCTCCTCCTGTCTGGTAACAATAAATAAACCGCTTTGAATGACCACTATCCCCCTGCAGCCGTGAAATACGGAAATCAATCCACCTGCAGCAAGGACAGGAGGAATTATGTTTATTATTGTGTTCAGACCATAAAAAGGTCTAGCACTGAAGAATAAGAAAATATCATTTCTATAGCGTCTCTCAAGATAAAAATCACGAGGCGCTTCACAAAAACAAAAAATGTACAAATATAAAAAAGCATTTAGAAAATGTTTTAAAATATATTTAAAATGAGCAAAAATAGACAATTGTGATTAAAAAAATTTAAGAAAGAGAGAGAGTGAACAGGAAAGAGGGAAATCAGTGGATCCTGAGGAAGGTGGAATAGGTGGGGAGAGCAGAATAAAGAGAGAGTGGTGAAGAAGGTCATACAAAAGCCAGGTTGAACAGGTGAGTCTTCAGCTGCTTTTTAAAGGAGACCACTGAGTCCACTGATGTCAGGCTCAGGAGGAGAGAGTTCCAGAGTCTGGGGCCACAGCAGCAGATGATCTGTCACCTTTGACCTTTAGCCTGGTGCTGCACAACCAGTAGGCTTTGATCACTGGACCTCAGGGACCTGCTGGGGGTGTAGGGACTAAGAAGATCACCGATGTAAGATGGTGCTTGTCCATGTAAGGCCCTATAGACCAGAACCAGGATCTTGAAATGAACCCTGAAGGTGACTGGCAGCCAGTGAAGCTGGAGGAGAAGCAGGTTGATGTGGGTGTGTTTGGAGGACTTGGTCAGAAGCCGAGCACAGGCATTCTGAACCACCTGTAGACGGTTCAGGGAGGTTCTGCTCAGACACGTGAAAAGAGAGTTGCAGTAGTCTAAGCATGAGGAGATGAAGGTGTGGAGAACTGTCTCAAGTTCAGAGCGGGACAGAATGGGACTCAGCTTAGCAACGTTCCTGAGATGGAAGAAGGAGGAGCGAAACAAGAGAACTGACATGAGAATCCAGGGTGAGAGCTGGGTCAAAGGTCACACCAAGATTCCTGACAGGTTTGGTGTGAGAAGTAAGCACTGCATACCCCTCCCCCACCCCACACTCTGAGGGCCGACGGTTTGTAAAAATGTCAGGTCCAAATTTTGGTCCCGGTTCACCCCTGCCTCCCAGACAAGTGGCAGCTGAACTAATCATGTTTTTAAAACGAAATGAAAAAAACTTGGAGCTAGGTTGCTAATTTTGTGTGGACATGTTTTTACGCCGGTTCGCTAACAACGTGTGCATCTGTGTTTCCACAGAAGCTGGTGTCTTTGGGGCTGCCTTGCACCTTTCAGCGTAGACTTAAGCCTGATTTTTACTTCTCCGTCTACGTTGGTGCGGAGACACGCAACACCATCATGCATTGGCACTAGGGCTCTTTGACGGGCTCACAGAGGGCGACAGAGACGAGCCCAAATATTTAAACATTCATCAAAAGTGACACAGAATGCAAGCTTGTGACTGGTCAAGACGTCCCTTCCTGTAAAATTGTCAACAGCACCGCCATTGCCTATTAAAATTTAAAAAATATTTAGCGGCAGACACGGAACAGAATGCATTACAGAAAAAGTCTGAAAACGTTCATGTTTACTCACCAGTCAGTGAAGGAGTACAAAATAATGAGTAAACACTTTATTCGTGGATGGAAATGACGGAAAACATGGGTTTAGAGAATGGTTTAAAGGAGAATGGAGGGCAAATTCATCTGTGTTATGAAGTCTAAAATATAGAGTGGATAAGGACAGTTTTCAGACCCCTGTCAATGTTTTCTCTGTTGTAGATGGAAAGAGGTGAAAGGGACCAGTCTGAATGCTTTTTTACAGCTTCAGTGGTTCCAGAAAGCAAAAGGAGTGGGTACTAGGATGCTTAAGTATTTTAAGGCGGATCTTTTTTTTTTATTTAGCTAAAATTCTTTCAACCCTATTCAATGCTTTTTCACATGAATCCTCCTTCTGCTTTGCTTGGTGAGTTCAATTTACACTTCTTAGATTAAATTAAATATTTTGGTGTTTGGCCTCAACCAGATCTGTTCTTCGAAGCAGATTCAAGCAGTCATTTTATGGTTTGACATTGAGACAGCTTTCTGTCTCCTTCCCTAAACCATGATGGTGAACAATCCGTTTTCAGCTCATGTGAGAGTTGTTTTGAGACCCCGTGTTGCTACTCTTCAGAGAATATTCAAAGGAGAGGGAAACTTACAATTGGCTCCTTTAAATACACTTTCTCATAACTGGATTCACCCGTGTATGGAGGTGAAAGGTCACTGAGCTTACCAAAGCTATTTTGAGTATCAATAATTAGTTCTAAAGGTTTTAAAACAACAACGGTGCCCAAATGTAGGCACCTGCCTAATTTTGTGTGAACAATTATTGCACACCTTCTGTAACAACTTTGTTTCACTTCCCAAATATCACCGTGTGTCTCTTTTATGATATAGTTTACTCAAACTCTTCAACCAACAATTTATACAAGAAAATCATGAAGATCAACATGGCTGCCCAAACTTTCACATGTGTGAATAAATAAAATAGATCCACAAATATGCTCTTGTACTTATTAAGTCTAGTCCATTCCTCATGTAAACACCTTGAACAGTAAGTATTGAATGATAATTGGCCTGTATTTACAAAGCACCTTCTGCAGTTCTAGAATCCCCAAAGGTACTTCATAACACACCAGTCATTCATCCACTACCACGTTTCAAACGATGATAGTGATGAGCTACGTTGTAGCCACAGCTGCCCTGTGGTCATGGATTGGAGCAAACCTGGGTCAAACAGCAGCCATGTTTACAAGATAAGAGATGTTCATAT